ATTAGGCTCCTCTCATACTCCTAATAACACCGTATGACACCACTTCGCAGGGGGGGGGATCTGCCTAAACTATTGGCTAAGACCCTAAGGTTTTCTTTGCAACCCTTCGAACTTTTCGTCTCCCCGGCTCGGCAAGGGGTTCTTACCCAAGGGTTTAGGGTTTAGGGTTTAGGGTTTTTCCACTCTACAACTTCGCCCCTTATATGCATTCAAACTACTTCCCATCAGAAGTACCTTAGGGGTTTAAATTGCCCGGACCTCAACAGTAGGTAGCATACTGATACTGGCTTAACCGTGCAAGTTGGCCAAAAAACTATTGTTCTACATACTACCCTAAACCCTAACCCCTAAAGCCTCAAACCCCTTAACCCTAAATCCTAAACCCTACCCTTCAGGTAGGCATTTAGGGTTTTGAGGGGTTTGGGCTTTGTGGGCGTTCCGGGCTCAGGGTTGACTCTCTGCAGCATGGACGCATTCATGCGAGAGTTTAGGGCTTCAAGGCTTTAGGGTTCATGGGTTTAAGGGCCAAAGGGTTTAGGGTTTAAGGGTCAAAGGGTGTAAGGGTTTAGGGGTCTAGGGTTTAAGGGTTTAAGGGTTTAAGGGTTTAAGGGTTGAGGGGTTAGGGGCTTAGGGGTTCCAGGGCTTAGGGTTTAAGGGTTAAAGGGTTTAAGGATTTAGGGTTTTAGGGTTTAAGGGTTCAGGGTTTAGGCCGAAGCACGTTGCTCCTACAGGAGCTCTTGGTACCCCAATTGTTGAGACTAGCTGAATCATATACCTTGACGGTAGTTTCCATACATTCGGGCCCCAAATATGGTAGTGTCCATAAACTCAGGGTACATCTACGATTGTTTCCAACAAATTGGGCCCGAATATGGCATGGATTCTAAGGGATAACTGCTATTCTGGGTATATGCAAGGTAGCTTCCATAAATATTGGCTAGTCTGGGGAACCGCAAAGAAGGATCCCTAATTTTCGGAAACCCGTGGGAGCTGCAGTCTAAACTCCTAGTATCCCCTTTAGTAACCCCTATAAAACTCCCGTATATAATCCCCTATAGAACCCTCTTTGAGCAGATTGGACTGTAGCTCATATGTCTGTATGTTTATGCACGAACCAGATATTTTTTAGGAAGCGATTCGAATGGGATCTTCATCCCTTGCGCACCCTGCGACTCTGAAAAAAGAAGACTCATAATGTAGACCCTGACCCCCTTCATAGGGGTTATAATAGGGATCCTGATATTAAAGTCCTTAAAAGGAGGGGGTTTATTAATCATGCGTCTACATTGAGTTGTTTTCTTCCAGCCCTTCCACAAACCTGCCGAGCAGCTATCATAGTTACCCCTGAGCAGGTTCAGGACGAAGTGGATGATGGACACCTGAGGAAAAGTCTAAAGTATTCAGCCCCAGCTCCCGAAATCCTATAAAACCTGCAGTAGCTGCACTATGGAAAAGGCGTGCAGCCTAACCACTTCAGGCATCTACCGACTGCTATGCGCTGAGCTTGGAATCATGAACCCCCAACCTGTTGGACGCCTGGTTGTTGGGTTGAAACCTTGCTGGGATATATTCGCGGGCACATCACAATTGTGTATTCTTATGGGCTTATACTGCTCAATCAACATGGAACATATGGAGATTGGGGTCCATAATGATCAACAATTATGCCAATGGTTAACAAGTATTCCAAGAATGTCCAAGACACTGTAGACCGTCGACCCATGATTAATAACCCCCCTCCTTCCAAGGGCCTTCATATTAGGATCCCTACTATAACCCCTATTAAGGGGCCGGTGGGTCTATTAGTCTACCTTCTAGGTCCATCCCCTTTCCCGCTCCTTAATATGGAGTAAAAGGGCCTTAATGTGCCTACAATCGTCCCTTATGGTACTCATTACACCCTAAACCCTAAACCCTAAACCCTAAAACCCCAAAACCCTAAAACCCTAATCCTAAACCCAAAAACCCCTACAATATTCCCGTGTGGTACCCATTACTGGGTGGTACATTAGGAAGCCTATCAGATCCCCGGGCTGGGATGGTTCTCGACAGCGTTAGTAGGGTTTAGGGTTTAGGGTACCGGAACCCCAAAGGTATGTAAAAATAATAGCATTCCTGGCTGTTATGTTGGGTTTAGGACTATTATTTTACATACTTTTGGGGCTTAATTAGGTACCTTAAACTTGAACTCTTAACCCTAAGGATCCGAATAGCCCCATTTAGGTATTATTTGTAGACTTCAGGGCCCGCCTCTACCTTAAACTCTTAACCCTAAGGATCCAAATAGCCCCATTTAGGTATTATTTGTTGACTTCAGGGCCCGCCTCTACCTTAAACTGAACCCCTTAACCCTAAGGATCCAAATAGCCCCATTTAGGTATTATTTGTAGACCTTAGGGCCCAATGTAGGTATAAAGTGGATCCCAAGGGTCTAGCTTGAACCCTAAACGCTATGGACACAAGTCTGGTCAGGCTGCCTATACCTTTCCAATCGACATCACGCCCCTGCACATGTCGACTTTGAGGAAAAGGCGTTTGCGGCACGTTTCGTACCTGTAACTTATGGCTTCCTGAACCCCAATTCAAGCCCTCAACCGTGGAAGTAGCCCGAATCATAAGAATTGCATTAGAACTGAGGGCAACGGCTGCGAAATGTTTCTGAGAACCGTAGCTCCTGCAATGCAGATCGACGATGGCAGTACAATGATGTTCTTGGCAAGAGCCAGGATCATCATAAGAAAAACAGGGTTTAGGGTTTAGGATTTAGGGTTTAGGGTTTATGCAAGAGCCATAGTGGTGATGAGTGCTAAAAGCACTCGGATGAACAACAGCAGCAACCCCAATCTTAACGACCGCTATGTACGTAGTTATCCTCAGTTATACTGAGCACGAACTAGTCTCACCATTAACCTTAACCTACGTGGGGATTTCCAACAAATAGGGGTGCCCTATTGGGGGTCCTTATAATAAGGACTATAGTATTTTGGGGTCTATATGGGTTCCCCTATTTTGAGAAACTACCACATATTCCTTGTACCATCAATACACCCTGACATAACCCCGTATATCTCCCACATAATATTATCCCCGCTTGGATCTCATTGTCGATCTTCGTTTCCATGTAATTTGGTTCTCCAATATACTAGTTTCCATTCTCTTTGTAATTCCCTTAACCCAATAAATCTCCAGACTCCGCTATAAAACCCAGTAGTTTCCATGTTCCTCCATTCCCTTGAGCATAACACCCCACGTATCCACATACATCCCTGTAAACCCTGGTAGTTTCCACATTACTGTTGATCCCCTCCCCCTAATGTTAACCTCCCCCCCCCCCAATATCAAATACAAGTTCGCCAAAATTCCAAATCCTGAAATCTGCCCCCAAGACTAGAGTTAATTGCGGCTCGGATCCTCTGACTTAGGCAGATTTTGGCACCATTCTCAAGGATTGGGGATCTTCTTCATTTCCTAGATTTTAATTGTTTTCGAACGGTTTTTATAAAGGGATCATTAAGAAGAATTCCAGCAACAGATTCCAAGGCCCAAATTTGGACTAGACCCTAATCAGACTCTAATTTGAACTGATCCCGAATAAGACCCTAATTTGAACTAGTCCCTAATAGGCCCTAATTCGAAATAATCTAGTACCTTATTTGATGTATTTAAATTTTGTACAATCTTAAAAAGATTTCAGTTACCCCCCCTAATGTTCCGGTCGTACGATAAATACCCCCCCCCCCTTGTATAAAATACGGGCGGCAATATTTACCTTCGGGGGTGCCTTTAATATTAGGGGGAATGTGGTCATTATTGGTGCGTAGGGGCCCAATTTAAACCCTAGGCCCTAAACCCCTAAACCTCTACCCCCAAACCTGAACCCCGAAACCCCTTGACCTTAAACCCTATCTGCCCTATCTGCCATGGGCACCGAGCAGGCTGCCGCTGCCAGGATGATAACTCGGATGGTAATCCGCTTCGCACCCCGGTCTTCCAACGGAATCCCGAAAGCGATCCTGAGCGGTTCGGGGTGCACACGAAGACCCTTATACCCTAAGCAGTTTTTTTTGGGATATGTTCTTTCTGTTAAAAAAGAGAGGACACTAGACATGAAGTGCAGTTCTCCCCCAAAAAAGGTAAGGTAAGGTCTAGGTTGGCTCAGGGTTTAAGGTTTCGGGCTTAAAGTGTAGGGTTTGGGGCTTCAGCCGCCAGGCCCAGGGCGCGCATGCCCAACAAACCGCTTAGGATTTAGGGAAGAGTTGCCTCATCCTACATTGGGCTCTAAAGTCTACAAATACCTGGAAAACCTAGTTGCCACATTCCATTGGGAACTGGTAACTGACATGACAAGTCGCTGGGTATGAGGGGTGAGGATTTATTATCATGCATGTGAAGTTGCAGCAATACATGTTCCAATAGCACATGCTCATGACATGTATACATGATGAGGATCCCATTTTTCACATATCGGTCACCAATGCTTGTGCACGCACAGCATGTACTGCTTCAGCGTGGCCTCGCAAAACTTCCTGGGAGAAACATTTCGGCCCAAAGTCGAAACCTTGTTTATAAAGTCTTCGCACATTTGGCACGAATCGGACAATGGGTTCACAACATGTACTTTCGCAGCAATCTGCTGCTCCAGGATATGTATACAGTGCATGAAGAGATGCAGTTTGGGGGTTAGGAGGTACCTCGTGAGTCTCATCTCGTACGCTGTTTTCGCCAAACTTTTGTACAACAAGATGTAATCACGTCCGGCTCTGACCACCATTCTAGCAGTGCGCCGTGGCAACCAAAGCTCAGCATGATAAAGAAGTGACAGGAATTTATTGGCAGCCTGACAGCATCTCAACAAACATTGCAAGTACTCATCGTTATGTGGCGCATTGTGTTCCAGATAACACGCCAGGAACTTCAAGACAACAGTTGTGTCAGCTCCTTTGAACCATACCCTGAGTTGGAGATTTATAGAATGCAAACTTGTAGCATGAATGCGTTCTCTAGAGGAAAAATAGCAAACAGAAGCACACAACCTCCATGTTAAGTAATTCAAGTGGCCCAGCCGGAAAGCTGCTGGCATCAGAAATGCGTAGCAGGCTCTTAGTCAAAGAGCTCATATGCAACGTCATTTTCTCATCTTTGCCAAACTTTTTCAGGTCTTCGAAGATGAGTGCTAGCTTAGTTTCAAAGGATCCCGCAGCACCATACAAATTTGTGTCGAGGAGTGCAACCTTAAATGATGAAAAGCAAAAGCAGATGCTTCAGAGGATAATTTGGATGATCCATTTTCGTGATAACTGTATAGCAGATTATTAACAATAAAGATCGAACATGCTTCTGTTATATGCTTCATGGTCGCCAGCGCTGACCCAGCGAGCTCCGCCATGGTGCCTTTGTGGCAAATATGAAAGAGATCCAGTCGGAAGAATGCTGCCTTTTCCCAGTCATTCTCATAACCTGTGCATAACCATTGGACAAGTGCCGGCTGTACTGACCATGGGGGAAAGTAGCGGTCGCCCATTGTATCTTTCCATGTTTCCGTCGTCCACTCATGGCATGTCTCGGTATTTCCCAAACATAAATGACAGATGCCTTTTCCAAACGGGGTGCTATCGTGATAAAATGAACGTTCAAGCTGACCGAGCTTTGCCATAGCTGCCCAATCCGATTTGACGCCCATGGGAACCAATTTCACAGACACCGAGGCATCCTGGTAGATGACTTGCACTCCTTCCATCGCAGCCGCATGGTCAGCCGCCCAGCTCTGAATCAGCTCGAGAAGCACTTCACTTTTTTTCCCATAAGACTTTTTGTGCATTATCGTGTAGAGAACCCGTGTCTTGTATGTAGACCCATCCATATTCAGCATGTGGCCATGCAAAGGCTCAGGGTCATCATGACAATCGTTGAGGCACCCAAATCCTAGCATAGGCTCCCAACCTAGCACCATGGCTGCTTGCTTCTTGAGAGCGCGCCCCTCATCACCAAACAGAAGTATGGGAACAGAAAAAGCACATGCCTCCACACCGTTTGCTAGTGCTGGGTGGTCCGGGCGCCAAGATGCAAAGAGCTCCCAGAATCGCAGTAGTGCTGGCTGTAATGGCTGCCCACCTGTAAGGTTCTCAAGCTTTCCAGCTGCAGCCAACGCTGAAACATAGTCAGCCGGGCAAATGACATGATGATGATGCGCAAGGAATTTCTTAGCAGTCATTGCGATGTTTGCCGACAAGCCCGCTTGAGCAAGGATTTCCCGACACATAGCTGCATGTCCTGTCGTTTTGGGCTTGCCAAGTTTCTTAATGACTCCTCCAACCAAATGTGTCTTGTATTTCTGTACCAAAAGCCGCTGCTATCATCGTTGTAACCTCTTGCGACACCTTAGTTTGTTGTATAAGATTCAGGGGGTTCAGGTTATGCGTGCGAACAATGAACATGTTGCGTACATTAAGCGCATCCAAGTGGCACCTTTCGTCATAGCTGTGGCCAAAGCCACAGCCACCGGACCAGGTTCATGATCCTTACCCTCATCGCCCAGATCTGCTGGAGTACCTCCATGATAAGGCGGACGATGAAGTTACATGGCATGGAGCTGCGCAAGCACGCAGTAGCACCAATCAGGAACTTTTGCATCCAGCGAGTTGGGCTTTGGGTCATGCACACAGCCCCTTCAAGGGGATCCTGGATCTAGCGCTAAGTCCACAGCATGCAGTGAGTGCCATAGGTGAGGTAGCAACGCCATATGTTGCAAATTATACATGTTCAAAGCAACCTGTGGACAAGCTAGCCCCCTTGAATTTGTGCAGGGTGCACAGATCGTTATGAACTGCATCACACACATGCTCAACCCCTGAAAATGCGAGATGAGGCAGCACACAGCCTGTCACCCGAGCGCCCGGTGTGATGGCCCACTGAACCCCTCACTTCTTGCTTGCCTTCTTAGTTTTGGCAGCCTTTGACTTGCCGGTAGCTCCCCGCGTGTTTGTATCAGGCGCCTGCTTGCTGCCACTCAGGATTGTCCTTAATAACATGCAGGCAGCGCCCCAACTCCGTATGAGCACCCATGCAGCACTCGTGACTTTGAGATTGGGACTTCTTCAGCTTGTCCTTCTCCATCTCGCATCGCGAGCACCTTTATGCAGAAGATCCATGTCAGGATAGCACCGTGGACATATCCTCACGCTGTACAGTTTGCAGCATCTAAGTTCATGGCAGCTCCTCCACCTGGCGACAAACATCCTGCAACTTCTTGTTCTTCCTTAGGTTGTGGCACACTCACGCAACATGATACGGGATTATTGTTATAAATTAATGCAAGGCTCCCCGGACTCAAGGACTTATGCGCGTGGTGGTAAGCTTTCAAATCTGCAATGTTATCATGGAGTTTGTCCAGCTCGTCGACCTTTTTCTCCAGTCGGTTTGCAGCCCTTAGGTTGGTGACATGAATAATCCTGAATCTTCATAAGCATGCAGTAGTGGACTATTATTGCGTATCAGGATTGCATAAGGCATCCACTGCTGGGCTCCATGGGCTTTGCATTTGCTAAGCTCCGTGATCAGCCCTCGAAGCATTTTCTGCGTCTTCAGGATTTGGGAAAGAAGCTCGCGGGCTTCCATGATATCCTGCAAAATACACATGGGCACATGAAATCCGAACATGCATGCCATGTAAGAATGTATGGGTCGATCATGTGGTATTTCAGTGTTTCCCGTGATGTATGCTGCGTGTCCTCACTCGGCAGCTCCTCAGTCAGCTGGGCTGCGGACTTGGATTTGGGCCTTCCATTAAATCTCACTTCGCCATCATCGTCCAATTCCAAGTCCGAAGCCTCAGAGTCGGAGTGGCCAAGGCTTCCCAGGCCGAAGGGAACCGCATCCACCCCGCCCTCGCCGAGCTCGGTCTCCTCACACAGCTCCTCTTCTTCAGCTGTCACCTTGTTGGCAACGACCTCCTCCTCATAACAATATTGGAGCTTCGTGATGTCTTCAGGCTCATACTTGTCTTTCCTCCAGGTATAGGGAACAGGCATGTATGGCTTCAACGCATGACGTGCGAATCAATTGGCACAGCATTCTAATAATCTCATTAAAGTCCTGACGCAGGTCTTCCGGTTCTCAGGGCGCATGCACCACCTCTTGACTGCTTTGATCCGTTTCCTAAGATTGCATGATCATGCATGACAATTCTGACATTTGATTACCTTGCAACTTTTACGTGGCTAAAGTTGCAAACAATCAATCTCGCAACAAGGGGCGGGTTTTCTTCTGAAAGGCACGGGTTTCCTATGAAAAGAAGCGGGTTTCCTATGACATTCGGGGTGTGATGCGCAACTTTATACATACATGCAGGGTTACTTAAAAATAGGTCCAAGGCACGGGGCAGCTTCAGAACAGTCTTCAGGTCATGCTCCGTATAGAACTTCCCCTTCTCGTTCAGATCGCCCTTACGACTTCTCTTGTACTTGTAGGAGACCTTCTGCTTGAATGCATCCTGCAAGATATATTTATAACGCATGATCATGCATGAATGCTCACGCACGCAATTGCAAGCTTTCAAACATGTCTCCCAAAACGGTCCCGGTTGCCATTGCATCGAACCATCACCTGCATGAGCTCGCGTCGAGCCGTGCCACCCATCTTCCACTTTTCGTGCACCTCCTTGGGCACATCCAGCCGGCCACCTTTCTTGGCCTTGCAGACCCGTCTGAGAACGGCATCGTACTTCGCCATCATCTCTGCAGAGACCTATAGGCTGCATTCAATCCGTTCATGTATTCATGCCCCGCATGCATGTCATGATGCTGCCCCAAGACCATGTCCATGTATGTGTACATGTACCCCTTTCATGTGTATAGCCTCAGGGAACTTCCGCTCCTTGGTGGCAGGCTTCTTGGGCTTGGATGACGATGCTGGCTCCTGCAGTCGCAGCACAGATCGACTCTAGGCCTATATAGTTTGATTGCATATATGGCACACTGGACATGTTCATAATACTGCCTCAAGGCGCTCATGCGGAATATCATCGAAGTTCAGCTGTCTGTTGACTGGCTTGCGTTTCGGGCTAGCCGGTAAGCATTCTGACTCACGAAGGGGCTCACCATCAATGTCATCATCGGAGTGGTCGTAGTTGACCCCATAGCCGAGGTCAACTGCCTACAGGACAAGCACACGAAGATTCTGCAAGGTTATCTGTCTGCAGCTTCAGATGCGCAGCTGTAAGATAAATGGTTGCTTTATGACCTGCCTGGGTATTGGCAGAAGGTGCGGGAAGAGACGGGCAATTCTTCTCCATGTCGGGGGCCGCGACTTCACCATCACTTTCTGGCTCCGTGGGGGTAATCGAACCATCGAAATCAAGACCCAGGCCCTTAACCCAGAGCGCAAATTTGTAATCTTCGAAGTTGTTGAAATATTCAGTATCACTGTCAGCAGCTGCGAGGTAGGGATCAGAAACAGGAACTTTCTCAGGGTCAGCATCATCAGCTACCCTTAGGGTTGCTGCACCTGGCTTTGCAACCTTCTCTGGCGTGAACTCAGGCGGGGCCGCGTGCTTCGGGGAAGCAGTCACAGGCTCGTCTGCAGAAGCCTGATCGGTAGCGGCAATCCGACGTTGCTCATGCAGCTTAGCCAGAATCTGTTCTGCTTCCTGAGTAACGAAACATGCTGTGGCATGGCATGAGGCACACATTGTCCATGATAGAAACATGAGGCATCACATGAGACGTGTTATCCATGCATATATTTCACCCAGGAATCTGCAATTTGCTGAGCCAGATCACCTTCCTCTTTGCACACTTGAAGCCCATGAGCAACCTCCGACATGAAAGACAATCCCTGCCCCAGGGTCTCCGCACTGTGCAGAGGCATGGAGGGCAGCTTGGAAAACAGGCCTGATCCTCCATCGTCATGAGACATGCATGCATGGTTTGCTCATGCATGCATGGGCGCATGCATGATGTAAGCATGCACATGAAAATCCTTCCCATGGTCATACAGACTTTTTCATTCAGGAGTTCTGCTGCGCTGCAGATTCGAGCGTGCTGGGTCGGGCAAAGTTGCAAGCACGTTTTGGGACTACGCAACACTACGGGATAACTATGCAACTTTACGCTTTTTCTACGCAACTTTACGCCTGCCCCAAAACATGAAAGTTGCAGAAGCCTCCGCTCAGAAGTTATCCAAGCCGAAATCCCACATGGAAGGGAGCTGCAACTTTTTGCTTGTGAGTAAGTAGTTCACCACTTCTTTCATACCAGCATCATCCCACAGGTCTTCAGTTTCCAGCCTGGAGCGAATATCACTGGGCCGGACGCAGTCTCCGGGCACCTGCAGGAGAAGCCAGGACTTTTTGCACGAATACTGTTCATGTAGAGACTTGCGAGTATATTTAAAAATGCACAGCCTCCACAGACATGCGGTTCAGGCCATCTTGATTCTTGAGGTCATCGAAGATCTTTGCAAACTGCACCCCGAAGCCCGTGGGATAAGCCCTTAGTTGCAGAAATTGCATAAAGTCAGGGAAGGTGGGCCTATACAGCGCTATATAATTTATAATGCATGACCAACATGCAGACATGTGTCGCAGAGGCTGCCAGCTCCTTTGGATTTCCGCTAAACCTTTTCTTGCCGTGGCGATCACGATGCTTTCGCACCAAGCGTATGCCAGTCTTGGCAGCATTGTCTCTGTCCTGCTTGGTGAGTGGCGCCGTTGCAAACTTCCATATCATATTCTTGTTCGAGAAGAGGACCGTCCGTTTGGGCGTTTTGCCGCCCCATAGCAACATCCACAGTCTCTGCTTGTACACCACAACTCTGCGAAGGAAAAATTGGCAGCGAGGGTGCCTCATGATGATCGACGTGGCTGGCTGCTCTATGACCAGGGTGCCTTGTCGAACATGAAGGAGCATACCCAGCAACATCAACCTTCAGGGAATACACGCAAAGCTTACACAGTCACATGAGGAATGTAAAGCGCAGGTAGAATGTTCAACATGTTCATGCATGTTTTATGGCCGAGCTTGCCTGGATACCATCTTGTTCGCTGCAGCTACCCCTTTGACAGAGCAATCACCCAGAGGCCTCCAATAGGATCTCTTCGTTGATCCTCTTGATAACATGATCCAACTTGAACATACGACCCCAAACATCATGAGCAGTCGTTCTGGCGATCGCAGAATTGCAATAAGAAGGAGCCTCAGCTGAGATGGGAAGTCTGTCAATTTAATGCATGATCACTCAGGCATGGGTCCCCCGAAGCCCTTT